CGCAAAAAATAGAGGAGAGAGATGATAAATTAAATGCACAACAATGTGCAAATAATTAAAGTCAGAGGAATATAAAAGATAAGAGTAGAAGTGTTCGCCCCATGGGCCCATAAAAAACAAGTATGACGACAACACCCTCCACCAATGACCACGATCATGAAAGCTCCAAGCGCCTCGATCCACGGCTGCACACACTGGCTAACCCCTCCCCGCATGCCACCCTCCACCAAGGATCTCAAAAAAATAGATGAGCGCCACCACGATACCTAACAATACCGATTATGGTAGACCCTAAGGCCACCATATGCCACTCAACAAAGAAAGAGGCATAAAAAAGAAATAGGGACGAGGCTGCCAACATCTAAAAGGGCTCGAGATCTTCCAAATTGAATTAAGAGGTGGAAGAGGTTCATTTCGGTATGCTGCGAGCTGGGCGCATATTTGGATGTTTGCATCCACTACCAGTTCATACTCTCGTGAAAGAGCTTGCATGGCATTCTGAATGTCTAATAGCTCTCTCTTAGCTCTCTCAGAAACTGAACGTAAGGTATCTAGGGTGGCTATCAATTTTTCCTGACGCTGTCCAAGGTCGTCATTCTCTCTAAGGGTCGCAGATAATCTATCAGCCAAATTAGGGAGGAGGTTAATAAAAACAAGGGCCTCACAGGCTGCAGATTTCTTTGCATCTTTTTTCGTACGTGAGGCCTCACTCTGGAATGTGCGTCACGTACAGTTGTCGTCGCCTGGAATATCGTATGACAGGGAGGCCCGTAACTACGAACTGTTCCTTGGGGGAGGGGTTCACCACCTCGCTTCAAAATCTCCTGGAGCCTATTTTTAGAAGATATCGGTGGGAAGTCTAAATTAAATACGTTGTAAAATATTTCCGATTCAAGGGGGGATGCCATGATGTTCAGGAGTTGGAGGTGGAGGGAGGGGTGCCATAGATTGTGGCATATCGGGGTCATAACCTTCAAGACCATGGAGCGGTGTATTGGAAACTTGAGAAGAAGCATCACTCCGTTCTCCATCCATTTCTTACCTACAAAATAACTAATTGTAATGATGGGGAGCTTCTAATGTATTGCATAAATATAGAAAAGAAGCACCATGATTCATTTACCAATTATAAAAAATAGAATGATGTAGCAATTAATTATTGATATTAAAGAAAGATACAACACGATTAATACGTAAAGAAAATATAAAACACTGGCAATTATAGCATCATGAATAATTTTGGAAACATACAACAGAGTTACCTACTGCAAAACGCTAATAATGGAGTTTCTAATACATAGAAAAAATATAAAAAAGAAGCACCATGTTCCAATTTTCCTGTTTTCGAAATACCAAGATATAAGTGGAATCAGCAAATAAATTATAAAAATTGTAATGAAACAGACGACCTTTGCAATTAAATATACAACAATTCCAATGAAAAGTGTTACATTTACGCAAAAAAACCATAGGTCTAAGGAAAGGAAATAAGAACAATAATAGAACTTAACACCAAAGGTAGCAAAGAGAAGAAGCGAGAGGATAGTGTACAGTATGGGCCTCAAATTGCATAGAGTATGAGATGGAGGTTTGCACCCGTTTATTGTCTCACGTAAATCCGGGCTGACAATTACATGTTTGTAAACTGAAGAGCTCATCATAAAACAAACACTAAACAAATAACCCAAACACAATAACCAGTGCAGGACTACGACCAATGACCATAGACCTAGCTAGTACCTGTATTCCGAGGAACAAAGCTCCTCAAGGCCATCTTCAACCACTTCAAATACACGAGCAATACGCTGGCTTGTATCTTCAAGTTTCTTAAGCCTGGCATTTACAACTTCAAGAGTGGAGCAAACTAGGTCAAGACAAACCTTAAGGCGCTCATAATCAGACCAAACCCGCAATATATGTTTCATAAGACGATCAAACCTTAGATAGAAGACCGCCGTCTTCGACAAAACTTCCTCAGCTTTGGAAATGAAGAACATTTCCACTTAGGGAGGTTGGACGAAGATAATAGGGATTGAGGTTTAGCTGTTAGAGTTTGAAGCCATATTCTATGTCATATGAGACAAGCGTTAAAAGTAAAGCCATATGTCAAAACTTGGAATATACATGGTACTCTTCAATTTTTTTTTTTAACCCGACACTTTAATTAATGAATTTGTGAGTGATGTAAAAAATTCATACAAAGTTCCAATGAAACAATTCCTAGATTGGGAGGGAGGAGTCCAAATCCAAAGATTCCAAACTCCAAAGGATGCAATCCATGCAATTTTGAATTGGAAATGAGTGAAGTCTAGAATTATATGTAATAATCTTATAATCTCCTCCAAGCATAAAAGTGAATAATAGTCTATTTTCGTCCAAACATATAGGTCGTATGTTATGAGAGGGAAAACCTCAGAGAGAGTCTAGATTCTAGAAAGCTCCCAAGTAGTTTCTAACTTTATATAGACATGCAATATGTTTTAGTAGAACTGTAAGTAGAGTAACGAAATTAAGTTCATATGGTTTTTCTGTGCAAATAGTACAAATTCTATAAGTAAGCTTTCTTCATCCTTATTATCTAACAGCTTGAGCTTCTTTGGGTTTATTAGAGAGAGAAAATGAAAACACCCTATTTTTTCAAATAGAGAGAGAGAGCACATATGGAGTTTCTAAGCTTTGGGTTTTTTAATGAAAATGGATGGGGTTGGAGCTACTTTGGTAGTCCAACTCCAACTGTACAAATATGTTATAGTTACACAAGAAATATGGATTGTAGTACAAAAAAATTACGGAATTTGGGCACATCCATACTGGCACTAAGGGATAAAAAAACCTCATACGCAATAAACATTGAAAAAAATCG